TGCTCTTTCATATTTGATGGAACAAGCTATGTTCTGGCTATTGTTTCAGCCAGTTAGGGGGTAACTGCTGCATGTGTTTACATCCACTTAACTCACATATGCGACAACGTGATTTATCCACAAAGCACAAACACGACTGTACTTCAGGTAAACAATACATCACCTATTACTCTCCTGGACGGAGCCCTCCCTGACTGAAGTAGAAGAGCCCTTCATGAACACATTATACTCTGGGCTGGCTGCAGTACCTGACCTTTTGCTGAGGTGGGAAAATAAATCTTCTCAAGGTGCAAGTAACTCTTTCGCTCTCATATAATCAAACACACACACGCATGCGCGCACACACACACACACACACACACACACACACACACACACACACACACACACACACACACACACACACACACACACACACACACAGAGCTCATAGAATTCTAAGGCCAAAACAACAAAACACACTCAGGGTTGCAACGCAGAAGTCTAAGCAAACTTTCCAAAAGACTCAGCTTTGGTTCCTAAGTATATGTTTATGTGTTGGGGTGGGCATGGGGGAATGGAGGAAAGCTTCCGGCTTTGATTATAATAGCTCCCCAGCACTGCCATTTCCAGTCCTATAAAAGGAGTTGCATTGGACATGGGAATATTTCAACAGAATGACTGGCATAACCAGAAAAAGCGGTGACAGCGGGCAAGTGTTTGTATGAGGAAAGAAATGGCAACAATCAAAACAAAATAAAGCAAAACCAATACCCTCTTTGCTTTGTTCGTTTCTACTTCAAAAATTTCAGGAATCGATTGCCTCTTGTTAAAAACAAAAAGTAACAGCCACTACAAAATAACGTGTGGTATTTTCTTTATTCCACCACAAAGGCAAATTATTCAATTTTCTGGTTGAATAGATCTACATTTCTCAGATAATTTCAACTTATTCAGATGATTCTGAAACTGTAACCCAGCTCAGAAGATTCTAGATCTCTATTATTTGCCTTAAAAAATAGTAGTAGTATAGACATTCATGATTTCCGTTTTCAATATTCTTTCTAGAAAAAAGAGTACGTTTTTAAAACAATCCCAGGATACCAACTATAAATGAATATTATATTATATTGTCAAATAAGGACTGTACTTGTGTGTTTTTGAAAAGTGTAATAAAACAAAGCAATTTGCTACCTCATTTGCGTGTATTTATTCTGAACCACATGACACTTAGATTTTAAAAACCGACCATTTTATCAGTCACAGGGTCTAGGATAACCCAGTGTAGAGATTCAAGGATAACCCAGCGTAAAGATTCAGAAGTACCTGTTGAATGTATGAACATCATTCTTCTCATCACCAATTACGTACCTTCTGTTTCATGATAGAAGAAACAAACCCAAAGCTACCTTTTTATGAGCTTTTTGAATCATTAAGGCTGTTTTATACATCGTTATCTGCTAACTCAAACAAAATCACTATTTTTAAGAAGAAGAAGGGTTTTTTGTTTGTTTGTTTTGTTTTGTTTTGTTTCCCCCTACAGGGAGCATGGGCTTGCCAGAGAAGGGAGGGGAGGAAGAGGGGAGGAGTGAGAAGTCCCCCCCCTCCCCCCCCACCCCACCCCACCCCGCGCCCAGGGGAAGGATGGCCACACTGCAATTCTATCTCCTCCACTCTGCAATCCTTTCTTCTCCACTTTCCTCTTAGAATTTTAGGCACATACACACATGTGCCTAGCATGATCCTCAAGCCACTTACTATGGCCAGGACTTGAACCTCGAAGCTGGCCATGTGGGATCCAGTGCCTTAACCTTCATGCCACCTGTTGGCCCTGGGAAGAAATTTTGACTAAATAAATTCTGAAATATTTTTCTGACTCATTATAACCTAAAATCAATTAATCACACCAATATTTTTCCAGGAAGGGGATCTATGACATAACATTAACACTCCCCTAAGAACTGAGTTTAGCCATCACATTCATTCATTCCAGCTCATCCATTGTATGACTTATTATCTACTCACCTTTTTAGGGAGAAGAGAGGAGGGAATATTAACTTTAAAATAAAAAAATACTAGAAAGTAGGTGAAATTATACTTGAAATCTGCAATGATGTACATCTTTATTTGCCATTAATGTATTTTAGAGGTGCTGTCCTATTTTATAAAATAACTGTCATCAGTAAACCACAGATTTGAATGTTCACTCAGCGGTAGGCACATTTGCAAATGTCTTCTGATTCGCGATTGTTAATATGGTAAGTGTGTATGCAGACACAGGCCATTTTGCTTACTGATGGCAGAGCATGAAATATAAGGAAATTATTTAGTAAAATAAAATTCAAGCATTATGACAGCAAATGCAAATAAATTACCTTTAAAATATTTATTAATTCCAACTTTTATTTTGTTTTAAGAGAGATTTTTTGCTATAGGGCATGTGCACTCACCAGAAAGACAGAGAAACAGAGAGACAGAAAGTGAGAAATCACCCCCCAGAGGAGATGGCTACACTGCAATCCCTTCTACTCTATCCTCCTCTCAAGATCTTGGGCATGCATGCACACAAGCCCAGCATGAGTTTAAGCCACCGGGTCCAGGACTCGAACAGTGGTCAACTCCATGGGAGTCCTGCGATATAACCATTTCACATCTGCTGGCCCTCAACTATTTTTTTTAATTAAAAAATCAATTTGTCAGAGGATATGTGTGCTCTGAGAGAGAGACAGAGAGAAAGGAAGTGAAAAAGCAACAATTACCCCACAGGGTGGATGGCCACGCCACAATCCCTACCCCTCCATTCTCCTCTCGGGATCTTGGGCATGTACGCACATGTGCCCGGAGTGAGTTTAAGTCTGGGACTTGAACCACGGTTAACTACATGGGAGTTCAGCAACATAGCCATTACACTGCTGGTCCTAAGACTATTTTTATTTTTTAGATGTTTTTGCCTTAGGGAAAAAGTGAACTTACTATGGAAGGGGGATGCACAGACACAGAAACAGTGAGAGAGAAAGTGAGACATCATCCACCAGGAAGGATGGCCATGCCACAATCCCTTTTCCATTCTTCTCCTGGGATCTTGGGTACCCACACACATGTGCTCAGCATTAGTTTCAAGCCAAGGGGTTCAGGACTCTAACCACCATCAGCCATGTGAGAGTCCAGTGACATAACCGTTACACCATCTACTGCTCCTCATAAGACTATTTAAATAAAAGTTTATCTTATTTTTTGTAAGTATTTACTGTATTTTTTTTCTAAAGGGAGAAATAATACAAGATACTTGGAGAAAATTATCACAATAAGGAAAATTATCTATTTCTAAAATAGATGTTCTACCAATCTGCAAACAAAGGAAAAGTCATACTGTACTCATTTTGGGTAGAGAAAAAAATAAAATTTCATAGAGTTTTTATAAATATTTTTAAAATATCTAAATGTTAATTAAAATTTCTTAATTTTTTTTTCCAATAGAGTGAGTGCACTCACCAGAGAGAGACAGCAAGAGAAGACAGAGAGAGGCAAAGTGAGAAATCATCCCCCAGAGGGGATGGCCACACCACAATCCTTTCTCCTACAGTCTCCCTTTGGTATTTTGGTCATGCATGCACACGTAGCTGGGATGATTTCAAGCCACCAAGTCTGGAACTGAAACCATGGTTTTCCATGTTGGAGTCCAACATCTTAACCACTACACCACCTGCTGGTCCCTCAAAATTTCTTAATTTTTACCTGCGTGGGAGTTGAAATTTAATTCAGCTCTTTTAAACTCCACTCTTTAGAAATGTTTTATCAATCAATACAGAGATGGACAGTCCATGTGCAACTAGGACCTAAGTACATACCTTTACATAGACATTTTCAGTAAAGGGAAGATTACATCTTAGCAGGGTTGGCAACTTATGTTGCTCTACTTCTAGTTATATTGTTAGGGATTCCCTTATGCTCTCCTACAAATTCTTTTCTCTTACAACATATGATTATATCATGATAACTATTTAATCTGTCAGTTTAACACCATTTGTTCTTTATTGAAACAATGCATTAGAAATCAACTTAGAACTACTTATTTTCAGGAACCAGCAGTTAGCATAATGGCTATGTCGCTGCACTCCCACGTAGTCGACCGCGGTTCACGTCCCGGATCTGGTGGCTTAAAACTCACGCCGGGCACGTGTGCGTGCGTGCCCAAGATCCCGAGAGGAGAATGGAGGAGAAGGGATTGCGGTGTGACCATCCCCCCTGGGGGGTGATTTCTCGCTTTCTGTCTCTCAGTCTCTGTCTGGCGCATGTGCTCTACAGCGAAAACCTCTCCAAAAAAAAAGAACTACTTATTTTCTAAAACCAATACATGTGACAACATCAAAATTGGTTTTGAAAAGAAATTTTAGAATAATTCTCTCGGCCAATTAAGTAATGTCAGTCCTCCATGCTTCATATTAGTATACAAATAGATGTTAAACTTTATTTAAAACAAATCCCTTTTGACTACAATTCCAACAATCTTTCCACTCCAAAATGTATGGGTGCTGTGAATAAAAGATAACTTGTAAGTTGATTTTTTTTCATTAGTCTTTCTCTTTTACAGGGAAATAAATGAACAATAAAATGGCTTAAGAGTTGGCAGCAAAGAGTTGAAATGACAAAAATCTATAATGTGAAAAATCAATGCTTTATCCTCAGCTGAAAAATCTTCCCTAAAGCTGTGATTTCATGGTTTAGGTCCTAAACTCTAAATGTTAAATTCCCCCCTCCCCCACCAAAATTATTAGAAATGGTATAAAACATTTGAAAGCATTTAGAAATCCCAGTGATTAGTTAGCATATGCTGTAGCCCCAAATTAATTTGAAGTTGCATTTAAATAAAAAATACAGGAGGGGGGTAGGGGAAGAAGGATGGTAGAGCCAAACAACTAAATTTTTAACATATATTTTCTGTAAAGCTAGTTAAAAACAAACACTATTGCTCATGTAATTTTTAGGTGTAAGTGTAGGGTTGGAAATAATTAAAATGTTACCTTTGCCAAGTAATTCCCAATGTATCCTCACTGGTACTGGGGTATAAATGCCTGCCGTTTTGATTCATGGTCCAGTCACAAATCCTCAGCTGTCAATTGAAACCTAGCAGTCAGATATGGATCGAGCAGTACTACAGTTTTTAGTATTTAATTGAACACATGCAAACTAGTACTGTACATGGCATTAACCTTACTATCCCTAGAGGCAACTTAAAGAAAAAAAATAAAAGCAAAAGAAAATCTTACTCTGAAATGCAAAATTCCTAAACTTTCTCAGAAAAAGCTATTGCAATATGCTTCTCTATTAATTAAAGCATACAAGAGAAACAAATGCTTAGAACATAACAATTAGCCATTATTAGAGTACCAATTGAGCTGAAACAAAAGCAAACGTTAATGTTCAATAGATATATTTTAGAAAGAAAATAAAAATGCTTTTTGTTCTATGCAACATACCAAATCATCTGCACTGAGTAAAATAATCAACAACTTTAAGCATGCAGTTTGAAAAACACAGAAGACATGCAGTTTAGAGAAGAAAGATCCCACCTTACAAACATTTGCCCTAACTTCTGTTGAGAAGCATGAAAGTATTCAATTTTAGATGTTAACTAATTCTGCTTTACTTGAAGTGGCATTGTTTAGAAAGAGTTCATAAGAATTTCTCCTTTTATTTTTAAATTCAGAGTAATGGCATTTAAAATACTTTACTACATCTGAAGAAAGTGAGGAATGCAATGGATACAAGCTGAAACAAATTCTTCCCAGATCTCCGAATCATCAGTTCTGCCCTTCAGAAATTGTTCGAGTAACCCTATCCACCTCTGTTTGGTTAACAGCTGCCCTACAGTGCTAGCAGATTTATTGAAAAGATATATTGCTTATTTTTATGCTTAAGAAAGTAAACTTATCTGGCTTTGGGGAAAAAAAATACACTCTAGAAAATCATGAATTTTAACCTTTAGATAGCCATGCTGTAAATTAACTCGATCTAGCATTGAAAAGATGACTTCTTCACAGCTATTCACTAAACCCTGCTGGCTACTAAGAATTTCAAGAGATGATTGGAGCCAAAATGCCTTTAAACTTATGATAAACTATTTTAATCCCTTCTGATAATGTGATAGCTAAAAACAAATTGACTATTAAGAATCTTTACTTTTCCTTGTAGACTCTCAAGTTGCTGCACACTCTAAAAGTGATTCTAGAGTTTTAGAATTGAAAGTTTTTGTTCAGTTTACTATAAATCTACAAATGTTCAAAAATGCCATCTAAATTCCCAAAATTAATAATATCATATTGCTATTTTAGGAAAAAGTGATTTCATAATTTAAAGAACTGAAAAAGTTCCATTCACATAGCTAGACAGATAGACCGATAGATAAATATATCGATAGATATGCAGCTTCTATTCAGGGAGTGTGTGTGTGTGTATACACTCACACTAAGAAGTCATAAATCAGGAAATAATTTTAAAAGAAAAAGAAGTATTTTTAAAATAGACCAAAAACTTGCATAAAGGTAAAAATAAATACCTGATTAATTTTAAATCAAACAGATCACATAACTTTACTATTTCAAAGAAGGAAATTTGTCCAGTCTAGTATGCGAGAAGCAACATGGCAGGCTTATGAAAAGTTTTCAAAATGGGTCATCTAATCAGAAATTTAATGTTAGGGAACAAATCGTTTCCGTTTCTGTTTGGTTTTACAGTAACAGAGTAAACCAGTTATCTATTTCAAAGCACACGCTTTAAAAGTACTCTGGAAACAATATAAAAATAGTTCAAGAAACTTGACTTTGTGTAAAGATTACCTTAGAATCCACTTACACTGTTCTAGTTAAATAACATGCTGGTTTTGAATGACTTAAACATTCTCAATAAGAGAAGGGTATATTTGGGCATACACATATGAGTTTTGTTCATTATTAACTTCAGATTTGTTTTTAGGGAGCTCTCAGTTTAGATTGGAGAAGTCTTCACAAAGAGCATTTTTCACAAAACCAGGGGAATGTCAATATCACTAACTGATTGGCTTTAGCATGCAGGATCACTATGCTTCCTTGAAAAGATACATATGTAAATTAATTTGTTTCTTTCTTTTAATGTTGCTCATTTTTAATTTGTCTATTCTACCACTCTAATGTCAAGTGGGATACCTTTAGCCACATGCTGAACACTTAAAATCAACATTATTTTTGGACTTTTCTTTCCTAAGGGTAGCCTCTAAAGCATTAAACCTTACTCTAGTTATTCATATTTATCTATTTTTAAGATATATGTAATATTTTTAGAAATATGCCTAAAGAAAAAATAATAAGCCTATTTAGTAATAATTAAATTCTAAAGAAATTAGCAGAATATTGATTAGTACTGAACTAATATTCTTTCTGTTACTAAAAATGTAAAATATAACTTAATTTATTTACCTATTTAGATTGCAAACTGGCATTATCAACCTTTCCAGACACTTCTAAGGAGACATGTGTTTACACATACATGTTTGTTATAATTTATTTAAGCCATATTACTTGGGCAAGAACATTGTCCTTTTTTAAATTAATAAACCTTTTGTTTAAAGCATCTTTGAATTAATAAACCTGATCAAATGAAATGTTAAAGGTGATGGTGTAGATGAGAGAAACAATTTAGCAAGAGAAATAGTAATCACCTATTCACCAAAGATTTCCATACTAACTTATAAAAAAATCAATTCTTAAGAGCCTTATTAGATCAAGATAGTCCTGACTGGGAACCAGCAGTTAGCATAATGGCTATGTCGCTGGACTCCCACGTAGTCGACCACGGTTTGCGTCCTGGAGCCGGTGGCTTAAAACTCACACCGGGCACATGTGCGTGCGTGCCCAAGATCCCAAGAGGAGAATGGAAGAGAAGGGATTGCGGCATGACATCCCCCCTGGGGGGGGCGATTTCTCGCTTTCTATCTCTATGTCTCTCTCTGTCTGTCTGGCGAGCGCACACTCCCTATAGCGGAAAAAAATAATAAAACCCTCTCCCCCCAAAAAAGATAGTCTTGACCAAGCTAACTGTAAACAGAATCTAGGTATATTTATACTTCTTTTGGAGCTATGTTAAATAGTCTTATTATTAGTATAATCTAGTGTTCCTTTTTAAAAAAACATTTTACATTAGTAAATATATGTAAGCTTGTAAGCTTGAAAATAGAAAATAATCTTTTTTGAGGTTGAGGTACTGATTCAGTTTCTGAACTGTGAGAGAATCAGTGTTAGATCATTCTCTTTTTTTCTCAATTAATTAAAACTAATTTTAACTGGCACATAAATACATACCTTTTATTTACATACTTTTTTCCTATGTTCATAGTTTCAGTTATACTCTAAAGACTTTCCCAAGTATTGTCCCTTAAAAGTAGAAATTATTTTCTCCAAGTAATCGAACTTAAAACATCAGTGTAGGTTATTTTACAATGGCATCTATTAGAGTTATATGTTTGTATGTGGAAGTGGGGAGAAATTCTTATTCTTCTTAAAATTTAGATTATAAGGCAGACCTGATCATGGGCATATCCCATCAAAACACATACTCTATGAATCGTTTTAATTCTTTAATTTATATGCACCTACCAATATGAAATCAGATTGCCTAAAAAATTAAATTAAGATGTATATTAAACCAATTCTGCTCAGAATTTCAAAAGTAAACAAAAGATGAAGAATTAGAAAGGGTGTCCTCTTAGAAAAGCTATCAGTTAAGGGGTAGAGTTGAAATAGTCCAAACAACCAAGAAATGAAGTTTTCACTGCCTATGTTCTTAGGGAAGAAGTTCAAGTTGAAGGGTAACCTGTTCCTGGCCCACTCCAATAAGGTAATTTCAGAAAAAGAAGAAATGGGGATCATTTGGTTTCCTCAAAAATCTGCATGGGAAACACCTAATATTTGGATCATTGTCCTTCCCTTTACTACACTCAGATACTTATGTAGTAACTGATATCCATAAAGAAACAATATTAACTGTGATTTCAGAATAAGTGTGTATTCAAATGAGGGCCCTTGTTATCAACAGGGGTTTTTGTTAAATGCATAGCAATTAGCTTTGGGAACAGAAGAAAGAAGATAAGCAAAATGTTCTACTTTGCTACACTCAGCAAACAAGCTGATGTACTAACAGTCCTCTTGATGACAACAGTTCTCTGTTGAACCAATAAACCATTAAACTGTAAATAGAATAATCAACACAGGCAAATTTACCTTTCACTTTTTTTTTTTTTAAGTTTACAGCAATTCTCAGAGGAATGTCTTGAAAGATAAATTTTATGTTCTCTCACTTTTTTTTTTTTTACTTTTCTATATGCCTCAAGGAATCAAATTTTTGGTGGGTGACTTGGGGAAGAGGACTTAAAAAGATTAACACTCTGGTATTCATGCTTTCCACTTAACTCTTGGATTAGTCAAATTTTATTTTATTACTATTTTTAATTATCTGTCATGAAGTAGATAATGGTCTCTTAATGAATAGTATGTAACCTTACTAAACCAAAATGGTCAAATGAAATTATGTTATACATGGGACATGTAACACATATAGGGAAAAAAAAGTATTTAAGATAATCCTGGTACCTTAAAGTCACTTCTAAGGTCAGTTTACTTCAGAAAATCATGCTTTTTGACATGTAAATTAATTAGCAGAATAGAATTAAGTTAACTGGGTATACATAGGCCATGAGCTGAATAAACATTACTGACCATGAATCCTAACTTAAGTATTAGAAAATGAAAGTTTTTATTTTTTCAATGAAGGCTACTTTAACTTGTGAAATTTAAGATTTCAAGGGACTTTGAAGATAACATAGTTCAATCTGTTCCCTTTCCTTTCCAAGATAAGGTTCCAGGAGGACAAGGTTTAAGGACCTGTTAAGGTGTTAGACATGCTCTATTCAGGTCAACACTAAAACTCAAAATCCTAACTTCTAATCCCCAGTTCTTACCCTCCACATCAGTTTGCCTTTCATTATTCCTTTCCTAACCTATCCTTCATGTACAGTCCAAGAATACTTAAGGCTAACACATCTGTAAATATAATCTTCAGAAGTTCCTCTACTTCCCTTAT